CTTTTTTAAAAAAGTATTTTTTTTTTTTTTTAATTTTAGAGAAAGAGGAAGTGAGAGGGAGAGGGAGAGAGAGATAGAAACATCAATGAAAACACTGATTGGCCACCCCCTACATGCCCCCCACTGGGGATCAGGCCCACAACCTGGGCATGTGTCCTAACCAGGAATCGAACCAGTGACCTCTTGGTGCATGGGTCAACACTCTACTGCTGAGCCACACTGGCCAGGGCTTTCCATTGTTTTGGTTTTTTTTTGTACATGCCCCTAGTGGGAACTGAACCCGGGACTCTCTGGTCCACAGGCCGATGCTCCAACCGCTGAGCCAAACTGGCCAGGGCTCCATTAATTTTTTTTTTTTTATCCTCATCCAAGGCCATTTTTCCATTTTTTATTCAGATAGAGTGGGAAGGAGAGAGAGGAAGAGAGAGAGAGAGAGAGAAACATCGACGTGAAAGGGACACATCCAGTGGCTGCCACCCTCACGACCAACCAGGGCTGCGGACAAACTGTAACTGAGGTACGTGCCCCTAGTGGGAACTGAACCTGAGTCTCTCTGGGCTGCAGGCCAACGCTCTAACTGCTGAGCCAAACTGGCCAGGGCTCAATTAATTTTTAAAGAGAGTGGAAGGGATGGAAGGAGGGCGAGAGAGAGAGATAGAAAGAGAGAGAACCATCAATGTAAGAGAGACACATCAATTGGTTGCCTCCCACATGTGCCCCAACCATGCAGGGAATCAAACCTGCAACCCAGGTATACATGCTCTTCACCAGGAATCGAATCTTCGACCCTGCAGTCCATGGGCCAAGGCTCTAACCACTGAGAAAACCAGCCAGGGCTGTTGTTATTTTTAAATTTATTTAGGAGAGAGAGAAACATCAATCTATTGCCTTCCATAGGCACCCCTACTAGGGACCAAAACCATAACCTGGGTATGGTCCCTACCAGGAATCAAATCTGAGACGTTTCACTGTAGGGTACAACACTCCAACCACCTGACACACACTGGCCAGGGCTGGATTTGTTTTTACAAAAAGCTTTCCAGAGACATGGAAGTAGGGAACAGACTGACAAACCTCAGAGGGAAGAGGGGGTAAGGGGGCTGGAAGAGATAAACCAAAGAACTTATGCATATATGCATAACCAATGGACACAGACGACAGTGCAGTGAAGGCCAGAGAAGGGGGATCTGGGCTTGGGGCGGGGGCTGGGAAGAAGGATCAATGGGGTAAAAAGGAGGGATCTCTGTAATAAAAAATTAATTAAAAAACAAAAACAAAAACTTTCCAAGATGTTAAAAATATTGTGAATTTAAATTATAGTTCCTATATATACATTAACAGTACTGTATGATAATAGGGTCTATCATTTATCTGAGTTTACCATCAGCCAGGAACTATGTTAGGTGTTTTACACACATTTAAAAATGTTATTCTCATAACATTATCTTCAGGTGAAGACTAGTTTATAGGCAATAGAAACTGAGGTTTCTAGAGGTTAGACAACTTGCCCAAGGTCAATTCACCCAAGCCAAGATCACAACTCAAGCTAATTCTAACATTCAGTTTCCTTCCAACTTACTGCATGTCTCAATACTGTGTTGTGCACTCATAACAACCAAGTGTAATGACATCCTATAAAATTTATATGTATTTCCTATATCTCTTATATTTTTAATTATGGCAAAATACACATAGCATAAAATTTACCATCTCACCCATTTAAAAAAATTTTTTTCTTTATTGATTTTAGAGAGAAAGGAAGAGGGAGAGAGAGGTAGGAACATTGATGAGAGAGAACACTGGCCACCTCCTGTATGCTCCCACTGGGGATTTGACCCACAATCTGGAAATGTGCCCTGACCAAGAATTGAATTGGCAAATTCTTGGGGCATGTGTTGATGCTCAACCATTGAGCCACCCCAGCCGGGCTTTCATTTTTATTTTTTATTTTTCTTACAGATGTTTCTCCTTTTCCCCCCCACTAACACCTTCCTCCCAATCCCCCCCCCCCCAGCACTGTTGTCTATGTCCATGGTTATGCATACATGCATATAAGTTCTGTGGTTTATCTCCTCCTTCCACCCTCCTGTCCCCCTCTTCTGAGGTTTGTTAGTCTGTAGCCTACTTCTGTGTCTCTGGGTCTATTTTGTTCATCAGCTTGTTTTGTTCATTATATTCCACAAATAAATGAGATCATGTGGTATTTGTCTTTCTCTGATTGGCTTGTTTCCCTTAGGACAATACTCTTTAGGTCCCTCCATCTCATCTCAAAGAATAAGAGATTTCTCTTACAGCTGCATAGTATTCCATTGTGTATATGTACACAGTTTTTTGTTTTTTTTTTATCACTCATCTATTAATGGGACACTTGGGCTGTTTCCAGATCTTAGTGATTGTAAATAGTGCTGGTATGAACACAGAGGTACATGTATTCTTTCTGATTGGTGTTTCAGGCTTCTTAGGGTAAATTCCTAGAAGTGGGATCACTGGGTCAAATTTAAAAATTTTTTTTTAAAATATTTTGTTTAGATAGAGTGGGAGGGAGAGAGAGAGAGAGAAACATCGACGTGAAAGTGACACATCGAGTGGTCGCCACCCACACGACCAAATCAGGGCCGGGGACAAACTGCAACCGAGGTACGTGCCCTTAGCAGGAACCGAACCTATGTCTCTCCAGACCGCAGGCCAACGCTCTAACCGCTGAGCCAAACCGGCCAAGGCAAAATTTTTAATTTTTTGAGGTAATACCATATTGGCTGTACCAGTCTGCATTCCCACCAGCAGTGTACTAAAGTCTTTTCCCCACACCCTCGCCATAACTTGTTGTTTGATGATTTGTTGATGGCAACCATTCTGGCAGGTGTGAGCCATCTTACCCAATTTTAAATGTACAGCTCAGTAGTGTTAAGTACATTCCCATTGTACAATCCATCTCCAGCGCTCTTACATTCTTGTACATACATCCTGGGGCACATGTGCCAGATTTCCTCTAGGGCATGTCCTATGGGTAGAATTGCCGAGGCGGTCCACCACTGGGTGGAATGCATGGTTTCGCATATGTTTGGCTTTATCAATTCAGGCAAAACTCTTCCAAAATGGTTGCGACAATTTATACTCCCATAGGCAGTTATTTTTTAAAAACATATGTAATACATTCAAATGTTTAAAAATGTTTTTAGCCCAGCCCGTGTAGCTCAGTGGATTGAGCATCATCCCGGTCAATACACATGTCACGGTTTCAGGATCAATCCCCAAAAGAAGGCATGCAGGAAGCAGCTGATCGATGTTTCTCTCACATGGATATTTCTAGCTCTCCTTTCCTCTTTCGCTCTCAAAAAAAAAAAAAAAAAAAAATTGCTATTTTAAAGTTCCAAATTTTAAGGGAACAAAAAGGCAATATAATAAAAAAATTTTCCAATTCCTTAATCACCTCATTTCTTTCCCAGAGGCAATCAATATTACCAAATTCTGGTGATTACCCTCCCAGAAATATGCTATTGTATATAGTTCCCTCTCTTACAACAAATGTTAGCATTCTATACATACTGTTCTGACACTTGATTATTTCTCTTAACAAACATCATAGGTAATATAACCAGTTGGTCTCTGGAGCAGACTGGACACATCTATTGCTCCATTCGAAACTGCCCATAACCTTGGATAGGTTATTTAATCGCTTTGTGCCTTATATTCCTTATTGTAAGGTATGGAAAGAATCCTACCTCAAAAGGTTTTTTTTTTGTTTTGTTTTGTTTTTAATCCTCATCCGAGGACATTTTTCCATTTGTTTGTACAGATAGAGTGGGAGGGAGAGAGAGAGGGAAACATCGATGTGAAAGGGACACATGGAGTGGCTCCCACCCGCACGACCAACCAGGGCCGGGGACAAACTGCAACCGAGGTACATGCCCCTAGCGGAACCGAACCCGGGTCTCTCCGGACCGCAGGCGGACACTCTAACCGCTGAGCCAAACTGGCCAGGGCTCAAAAGGTTTTATGGGAATTAAATTAGTTAATATATGTAAAGCATTTAGAACTGCACCTATTAGAACTGTAACTATTATCAATATAATCACATCAATGCTTTCTCTGCCTTTTTTTTTTTTTTTACAGCTGCTTGGTGCTTATTATATAAATGTATCTCAATTTATTTTAATCATAATGATGAGCATTTAAGTTGGTTCCAGTATGTTGACATTACAAACAGCACAACAATAACTAACATATCATCTTCCATTCACCCTGGTGACTACGTCTGTAGGATAAAGTCCTAGAATTAGAACTGCTGGATCAAAGGTATCATGTAGTTTATAATTTCAATGGATATTGGCAAACTACCCTTCAAGGATACATAATGGATTCTCATACCTGTTAACTTAAAGAGATACAGAAACTGCAGAATAGAAGCGACCTGGGTGACCTACTTTCTTGTCTGGCTGAGTCAGCAGAGGCTGGGAGACGGAAAGTGACTCACCCACACAGTTAGTGGTGGAAACAGCCCCAGAACCCAGGCAGGTGTCTGGAGTCCTAAAATTCTATAAAGCTCGTTTTAACATCTCATCATTTTGACGCAGCAGGGTGCTTATCTAATTTCTTATTATTCTTTCCGATTTTCCCACTGGCTACTTTTTCATGGGCGCTGTCAAGTGACCCTTGGACAATTCAGGCCAGCTGGCACTTTGGCAAGCTATCGATCTTTCAAGATGCTGTACTTGGTGAACTGCCTTCGGGGGCGCAGAGTTCCGCCAGCCACCCGCAAGAGGACATTTACATTACAACAGGACATTTACATTACAACAGGACATTTACATTACGACCCACAGCACTTGCCCTGTTGTGTAGCCCGGACCAAATTTCGCAAGTTGGTGGTCGATTTGTGATACGTCCGTCTATTCCAGCAAAGGAAGCCCGCCTCTCCGTGATAAAGTCGTTATTGGATGAAAGGGCTGTCAATCACCAAGGGAATAAACGTGGGCGGCCTCGGTTCCTCCCCCAGGAAGGCCAGGACCGCGCGGCGTGCCTTAAGTTCCGCGGCGCGAGTCGTGTGGGCCACCGTCTCCGCGGTAACGTCTGTTACTCGACATTACCTGGAGCAGGAAATAAAGGGGACCTCTCCTCTTCTCCCTCCCGGCCCGGCAGGCTAGATGGCAGAAACGGCGGTGACGGGTGCCGGCGGGGAGGCGATGGCGGCAGCGGCGGCGGCGGCGGCGGCAGGTTCCGCGGGTCTGGCGGTCTTGTCTCTGGGTCGCGGCTTCTCGAGCTACCGGCCCTTTGAGCCCCAGGCGTTGGGCCTCAGCCCGAGCTGGCGGCTGACGGGCTTCTCCGGCATGAAGGGCTGAGGCTGCAAGGTCCCGCAGGAGACGCTGCTCAAACTCCTGGCGGGACTGACGCGGCCGGACGAGCGGCCGCCGCTGGGCCGGGGCCTGGTCGGAGGCCACGAAGAGGCGGCCCAGGAAGCCGGCCTGCCGGTCACGGCGGAATCCAGCCCAACTTTCCCAGCCCTGGGCATTGGGATGGACTCGTGCGTCATACCGCTGAGGCACGGAGGCCTGTCACTGGTGCAGACCACGGACTTCTTTTACCCCTTGGTGGAAGATCCCTACATGATGGGGCGCATAGCTTGTGCCAACGTGCTGAGTGACCTGTATGCCATGGGCATTACTGAATGTGACAACATGTTAATGTTACTCAGCGTCAGCCAGAGTATGACTGAGGAGGAACGGGAAAAGATAACCCCGCTCATAGTCAAAGGCTTTCGGGATGCTGCTGAGGAAGGAGGGACTGCAGTGACTGGTGGACAAACTGTGGTAAACCCTTGGATTATCGTGGGTGGGGTTGCCACCGTGGTTTGTCAGCCCAATGAATTCATAATGCCTGACAGTGCAGTTGTTGGGGATGTGCTGGTGTTAACCAAACCCTTAGGAACCCAAGTTGCCGTCAATGCCCACCAATGGCTGGATAATCCTGAAAGATGGAATAAGATAAAGATGGTGGTCTCCAAAGAAGAGGTAGAGCTGGCCTATCAGGAAGCCATGTTCAATATGGCTACCCTAAACAGAACTGCTGCTGGGTTAATGCACACATTTAATGCCCATGCAGCCACAGATATCACAGGCTTTGGCATTCTGGGGCACTCTCAGAACCTTGCAAAACAACAAAGAAACGAGGTGTCCTTTGTCATCCATAATCTGCCCATCATTGCCAAGATGGCTGCCATCAGCAAGGCCAGTGGGCGCTTTGGGCTCCTTCAGGGAACCTCAGCAGAAACTTCTGGAGGGTTACTAATTTGCTTGCCAAGGGAACAGGCTGCTCGCTTTTGTTCTGAAATCAAATCTTCCAAGTATGGAGAGGGTCACCAAGCATGGATAGTTGGCATTGTGGAGAAGGGAAACCGCACGGCCCGAATCATTGACAAGCCTCGAGTTATTGAGGTCCTACCTCGTGGGGCCACTGCTACAGCTCTTGCCCTGGACCATTCCAATGCCTCCTCTGAACCTAACTCATGAGACGGAATAGCACAAGTTGTTTGGACCTTTGAGCCTTTGTTCACAGTAGTGGATTCTGAAGAGTTGATTTGAAGAACAAATTTCCAAAGAAGGCTGCCTGCATAGAAGTTTCACAGTTCGCCTGTCTAGGTGATTTGAATCAGCTGGTCATAAGCTGCACATTCCATGGCCAGAAGTAACATTTTGAACTTTGGGGGAGGGTTGTTCAAATTTGGCTTAGACCAGGAACAGAAAAACCTGTTTCCTCTTTTCAAGAGCAAAATGAGGCTATTCCAGTTTGAGGGAATTGCAAAAAAGATTATATATATATATATATATATATATATATATATATATATATATGCAATGTCAGAAGCAAATAAATTTGGATCAGCACTGTTGATAAATGATATAAATTGTTAAGAAAGATCTTAAAATGCAATGTCATGTTCTATTTTAAATTTTTCTGAAATACTCTCTTTCCTGCTCTGGACAAGAATTGAGCAGCTTGTCCAATGACTGGGAAAGGAGGATCTGCAACCATCTGACTTGGTCTCTGTTAATGATGTCTCTTCCTGTAAACCCCCTTTAAGGACTGGGAGAGGCAGAGTGAGTCCCAGAGCCCAGGCCTTGGTGGTCATTAAGCTGTTAAATTTTGTGCTGAAAATGCCTGGTGATATAATCAATAAAGTGACTTCTAGTGAAATAAATAAAAAGGACTGTTGAAAATTTTTCTGGCTAAAGTTTGGATCCTTGGAATTCTGAGTCTTTCACAGTCTTCTCAAGTGAATCAGTTGATACGTTTAGAGTCAGGCAAAGTAGAGAGTTTTCCTGATCCTGGCCTAGGTGATTTCACACCCAGATCTAGGTTTGCATCTTTCTCCTGAGTTGACAGCAAAGGACTCAAAACACATAGACCCCAAGGACTAGAAGGTGGGACAGGAAATAGCAAAAGTGCCAACAGTTCTTGGAACATGAAAAGTAGGGGGAAGAGGGATAACTGACTTAGGGAACAGAAGAAGCCAAAGTGTAAATACCTTCAGAGTTAGAGAACCTAACAATGGAGAGATGTGCTCCAGAAGTACTAAGGGAGCTGAACATGAGTGGGGATAAAAACATACAGGTTGAAAGTTTATACAGGATCAATACATCTCAAATACCGATTCACACAGCCAGAAGACAGCTCCTTAGGTTTGCCGATAAAAGGAGGTTGATTTTCTGGAAAATGTGAATTAAAAAAATACTGTGTAGGCAAGGACACCAGGCACAGCGGAGGACAAGGGGCCTGAGAAAAAGCTAGAATAAAAACTGGAGCCATGGCCAGTTTGGCTCAGCGGTTAGAGCGTCGGCCTGCGGTCCGGAGAGACCCGGGTTCGGTTCCCGCTAAGGACACGTACTTCGGTTGCAGTTTGTCCCCGGCCCTGGTTGGTCGTGCGGGTGGCAGCCACTCGATGTGTCCCTTCACGTCGATGTTTCTCTCTCTCTCCCCCTCCCACTCTATCTGTACAAAAAAAAAAATGGAAAAATATCCTCGGGTGAGGATAAAAAAAAACAAAAAAACAAAACTGGAAAATGAGCCCTATCCGGTTTGGCTCAGCGGTTGGAGTGTCGGCCTGAGGCCCAGAGAGACCCGGGTTCAGTTTCTGCTCAGGGCATATACCTCGGTTGCAGTTTGTCTCTGGCCCTGGTTGGGGTTGTGTGGGTGACAGCCAGTCGATGTGTCTCTCTCACATCGATATTTCTCTCTCTCTCTTCCTCCCTCTCGCCCTCCTACTCTATCTGAAGATGAATCCAAAAATGTTCTAGGGTGAGGATAAAAAAAAACACTGCAAAATGGGGTTCCAAACCTCTTCCTCAGCTGCTAAAAGTACTGTGTTGGAAGCTTATTCTGCTGCTCCTGGAGAAAGTGAATATTCACAAAAAAAGACATAAATATAAACATTTAAGAAGACTCCAGTCAGAATCCCTGTGGTGGGAAATCTCCCAATTAAAAAGCTTCACTTGCCCTGGCCAGTTTGGCTCAGCGGTTAGAGCGATGGCCTGCGGACCAGAGAGACACGGGTTCAGTTTCCACTAAAGGCACATACCTCGGTTGCAGTTTGTCCCCGGCCCTGGTTGGTCGTGTGGGTGGCAGCCACTCGATGTGTCCCTTTCACATCGATGTTTTTTTTTTTTTCCTCTCTCTCTCCCTCCCACTCTATCTGAACAAAATATCAAAAAAAAAAAAAAAAAAAAAAAGTCCTCGAGTGAGAATAAAAAAAATAATAATAATAAAATAAATAAAAAGCTTCACTCACCCTGGCCTGTTTTGCTCAGCAGTTGGAGTGTTGGCCTGCAGTCCAGAGAGACTCTGGGTTCGGTTCCTGCTAAGGGCATGTACCTCCATTGCAGTTTGTCCCTGGCCCTGGGTGGGTCGTGTGGGCAGCCACTCGATGTGTCCTTTTCATGGCAATGTTTCTTTTTTTTTTTTTATCCTCACCCGAGGACATTTTTCCATTTTTTGTTCAGGTAGAGTGGGAGGGAGAGAGAGGAACAGAGAGAGAGAGAGAAACATCAATGTGAAAGGAACACATCGAGTGGCTGCCACCCACACAACCGACCAGGGCCAGGGACAAACTACAACCGAAGTATGTGCCCTTAGCGGGAACCGAACCTGGGTCTCTCAGGACCGCAGGCCGACACTCTAACCGCTGAGCCAAACCGGCCAGGGCAATGGCAATGTTTCTCTCTCTCCCTCTCTCTTCGTCTCACTCTGTCTGAACAAAAAAAAAAAGGAAAGATGTCCTCAAGTGAGGATTAAAAAAGAAAAAAACAAGCTTCACTCAACCACATTCTTTTTATTTTTATTTTTAAAATATGAAACGCTTCACGAATTTGTGTGTCATCCTTGCGCAGGGACCATGCTAATCTTCTCGGTATCTTCCAATTTTAGTATATGTTCTCCCGAAGCAAGCACTCAACCACGTTCTTTTTAATGCCTAATTCTTAAATAAGAGCAGTCTTGTAAGACAAGACTCCAACTAGAAAGAAGTCAAAGCTAACAAAAAAACTTCAGGAAAGGAACAATACAGGGAGTGGAAGAAAAAAAAGCAAGCAAAGTAAAACAAGTATCCATGAGAAGATAAGAAGGCACTTAGAATATACAAATATAGCTAAGATTTAAAATTCAGTAGAAGGCCTGGCTGGTGTGGCTCAGTGGTTGAGCATTAACCCATGCACCAAGAGGTCGCCAGTTCAATTCCTAGTCAGGGCACATACCCAGGTTGCAGTTTCAATCCTCAGTCTGGGTACCTACAGGAGGCAACAGATTGAAGTTTCTCTCTCACATCAATGTTTCTCTGTCTCTCCTTCTCTCTTACTTCCTCTCTTTCTAAAATCAATCAAAACATATTTAAAAAAAAACTTGGCCCGGTTTGGGTTAGAGCATTGGCCCGCAGATCAGAGAGACCCTGGTTTGGTTCCTGCTAAGGGCACATACCTTGGTTGCAGTTTGTTCCTGGCCCCAGTTGGGGTCGTGTGGGTGGCAGCCAGTTGATGTGTCTCTCTCATATCCATGTTTCTCTCTCTCTCTCTCTCTTTCTTCCTCTCTCCCTCCTGCTCTATCTGAAGATAAAATGCAAAAATGTCCTTGGGTGAGGATAAAAAATAAATAAATAAAAATAAAAACAAATAAAATAAAAAAACAACCTTTTATACCAAACAAAATATAATAATATACAGTATTCACGACATGGAGGAACCTGGAAAGTATTATCCTAAGTGAAACAAGCCAAGCAGAGAAAGACAAATATCACATGATCTCACTTATTTGTGGAATATAATGAACATAACAGTCTGAGGAACGGGGTAGACCCAGAGACGTGGAAGTGGGGTACAGACTGACAATCCCCGGAAGAGGGGGGTGGGGAGGGGAGAGGAGAGATAAACCACAGAACTTATATGCATGTATGAATGAAGGGGTTGAGAGCAAGGCAGGCATCCAACTTTTCCTTGGGGAGGGGCTGCGCATCACAATGGAGGTAGTAGGTAGTGGAGGTGACAGGGCCTTGGACGGAAATTAGAAAAGAATCAAGGGTACAAACAGAGGTAAGGAAGTTGATGAGGGAAAAGGAAGGAGAAGAAAAGGAAAAGGGAGCCAATGGTAAAAAAGAAGATGGAAGCTGAAGCTTGAGGAAGATGAAGAGAAGGGACAGAAGGGCAGTGACTAGGTGACCTCGGCACACAGCAAGCACGGGTCAGCGGCCTACTTCACTTCCCTGTGGGGGCAGGAAGACGTCTTTACTTGCTGGGGAGCACCGAGGAGTGCTGGTGAGCTGAAGCCCATGCCTTTCTGAGTGATCTCAGACAGGCCTCTGCGTCTCAGTTTTCTCATCCATAAAATAGGTGCAGCCATACCCACCTATGGCAGGGAAGTCAGGGAACTGATCCCATGAGATGTGCGTCTATAAATCAGTATTTATTTCATCTCTCCAAGTACCAGGCCCTGAGGAAACAAAAGCCTGACACTGCTTCTGTTCTCCAGGAGACCCAGTCTAGGAGGAGATCTAGAATAGGGACACCAGTCACCCCCAAATTAAGTTGAAAAGTGCTGTCATGAGAGCTAGAGTGGATGAAGTACTATAGAAACATGCCCTGGCCGGTTTGGCTCAGCGGTTAGAGCGTCCGCCTGCGGTCCAGAGAGACCCGGGTTCGGTTCCCGCTAAGGGCATGTACCTCGGTTGCAGTTTGTCCCCGGCCCTGGTTGGTCGTGCGGGTGGCCGCCACTCGATGTGTCCCTTTCACGTCGATGTTTCCCTCTCTCTCTCTTCCTCTCTCTCCCTCCTACTCTGTCTGTACAAAAAATGGAAAAACGTCCTCGGGTGAGGATAAAAAAAAAATAAAAGAAACAGAGTTATGTCCTTTTGGAGGAAGTTTTGCAAGGCTTCTCAGGGGAGGTGGCTTTGAAGCAGGGCTCTACAGGATGGGAAGAATTGGATTTGGATATGCAGAGAAGGGGAAAGGGCATTCCAGATGAAGTGAACTGTGTGAGCAAAGGCAGGAAGGGGGAGAGTGGGGAATATCTAGCTGGACTTCAGCATGTTGTAAGGGGGCAATACTGGATAAGTAAGTTGGGGAAGGGCTTATAAGAGTGTTGGCTACTATACTCCCAAACGGACTATACTGGAGATTCCTAAAAAGCCTGTCATGAGTCCCCATGAAACATTTAATAAGAGCAAACTTTAAAAAAAATTTTTTTCTTTATTGATTTTAGAGAGATAGGAAGGGAGAGAGAAAGAAAGATAGAAACATCAGTGAGAGAGAACATCA